GTCTACGTTCTGTAAATTTGAAACGAGAATTCACAGCTGCACAACTCATAAACAAAAGACGGGTACATCACTCAAAATCAGTCCAACAGTTAAATGGCTTCTTTCAGGACCATCAAAAATATAAAATATTAAAAATAAGTCCACTACAGCAGAGAAACTTCAGTGTATAAGACACCACACCATTTCTTTAACATCTTAATGAGACTGATTCTAAATATGTTAACTTGGATGTTTTTTCCCAAGATACTTTGATGAGGGCAAACTTTGTGGCCTCTAAATTGAATTGTGTCATTACTCCTATGGATCTATTCAGTGTCCTCCTTTCCCAAACTAGCTCACTGAATTAGCTCATATTGTTTCCCATGTCTAGGGAAAGACCCAGCCTAGGCAAGTGGCACTGGCCACCAATATTTCTTATATAAAGGTCCTGTTTTATTAAGGTGTTTTAGGTTTCTGAGTAGTTTGGAGAAATGGGGGCAGAGAGAAATCTTATTAGGGGCACCTATTGCCACTCTTAAAATTTCACTGTATGGCCCAAGTTTCAGGCAGGCATGAGCACTAATTAAATGTGCCTTGACTTAATGCCTATCAATAATTTCATGACTTATTTTGAGGTGAGGCCAATGGTAAATATCTCAGTACTAAGCAAATACTATTAAATGTCTCAGTATTAAACAAAATGCATTCAATTAAGTACATTGAAAAGAAGTTTATTTACACAAGACAGAATCACAACACAAATTGCATCGTCTGCGACTAAACCTAAGCTATTTGTCATCGTTTCCAAAGCCTTGTGAATATGTGTGAAACATGGAGTTAATTCTTTGGATTTTTGTAAACTGAGATAGGTAGTAAACTTCCTTGTAAAAACAGCATTTGACATGCATTCCACTTTGCATTTCTTTATCTTGGTTCCCTGGAACTTAAAGATAAAGTGTATAAATATATTCTACCTTACATCGATTTACAAATTAATCAGTGTCTTGTGGCTACACATTTCCAAATTAACAAATATATACTTTGTGTGAAGGTTCACAGCAATCTTCTCTAATGATTTCTTCTTCTCCTTCCTTAATTTATGACTCAGACATCACTGGCAAGATAATAGCGCTCGGTATATGGTGTCTTAATCAGTTTTAGAAGTACTTCAGATAAATGCGCTTGGCGCTTATTCATGTTTGCATCTGCCTTTTAAAACTGTCAGATGTTTGGTGGATGAAATTCATTACTAAAACTTATGTTAAGGAGCTGCTCATATTTTTATTGCACTAATCATCACAAAAACAGTTCAACTGTGTTAAACTTTTAAACACCCCATCCATTGAATCAGTAATTTCCTTCATAAACATAGACATTTGATAATATTTGCCCTGGAATATAATTTTGAACTTCTAAACTTACATTCTTTTGAACTCTTAGAATTGCATTTGATGTCATCCCTTCATAGCTCATCTATACAGAGTTAGGCATGTTTATGTCGACAGGACATGACAGGTGGTGCTTAGACACACGGAAGAAACGCCTTAATCACCTGTTCACTTCCTCTTACCTGAGATTTAATTCGACTGTCCCACACCAGCAATGATTTTTCACCCCCAGAAGTATTTTCTGTGATACAATTTTTAAGAATTTAGTGATCTGCTTTATTTCATAAATGAAAAAATATATATATAAAGAATAAGTTGGAGAAATCCTATTCCATATTTTCTACATACAGTGACATCTGTGGGCTGCTGTAGCCCAAAGTGGTTTTTAAACAAGTACCTGCTCATTTTATGGGGGTCAAAGCTCATTTCTACCGCTGTTCAACTATGTAGTCCGTTGTGGTCCGTAGAAATAATTTTCACTTACACATTGAAGCCAGTTCCAGACTGTAGCCAGTTTTCCTGAAAGTAGTGCTGGAAATATACCTTTGAGTTTGTAAACTATTCTCTTGGCATGGTTCAGAACAGCCTTCTTCCACAAAATTGTTAAGGAATTTCTTGTAATTATGTTTTGAGGGAACATCTATCCAGGAGGGAAGAGTACTGGTCAGGAGTCAATGTGGAGAGGTCAACAGAATTACTGCCTTAGGGATATTAAGGAAACGCAATGGGAAACAATACCCATTAAAAGGATAAACTGCGACGAGATAGTTGGTTTATCTCTACCGGTTTTAGAAAATCTTCAGCAGGAAAAGGATAACACCCGTGCCCTTTTAAAAACGCATCTCTTTGCCTTAAAAGGATGCCGTGATCCTTTTCTGGCAAGAAAGCTGCTTTGCACTTTGGTATTTATGGCTGAGCAAATCCTGTATGCCTTCCAAGAGCTGCCAGTAACAAACCAAAGCTTTAGAGCGCACCCTGTGAGCTGCTCACTCCGCCGCGGACCGCGAGAGGAGCGGACTCGGGCAGCTGGACCTCTAGCCTGCAGCGACGCATTCCTGCGTCTCCCGGCAGCGGGTCCCGGGCTGGGCCCCGCCCCGCCCTGCCGGCCGCTCGCCCGCCGACCGCCCTCGCGGCTCCCTGCCACCCTCTCGCGGGCGCGCTCTGGGTGGGGCCTCGCGGCGGCGGAGATGCGGCGGGTGTGCTGGGCGGGTGAGGCTAGCCGGCTGGGCGGCGCGCCCGGGCAGCCCGAGCCGCGCGCCGCGTCGCTGTAATCGGACACCCGAGCGCTCGCCCCCGGTGCCCGGCCACTTTCCATTCACTCCGAGGTGCTTGATTGAGCGACGCGGAGTCGAGCTCCCGGTGCCGCGGCACTGCTACGCTGAGGATTCCTTTACAAAGAAACTCAGACGACCGGGAAGAAAGAATTTCACCGCTGGGACGCTCTAGAAATTAAGGTCTTCTGGGAAAAAGACTAGAGAGCCACTCGCGGAGTCACACCGGTAGCAAATTGATGTCTTTTCCGTGCTGATCTCTTCCCATCTCGGTAAGCTGGGTTCCTTATTTTCAGCATTACACATTTAGCAAAATACCAAACATAACTTTTGGTTCTGCGTATCGACTTTTTACACATCGGTGTGCTTGAGTCTGGACATTTTCTAAAGAGCACATGCAGTTTGTCAGGGAAGTGTTTCCCTTGCTGAGAGCCCTGCTTGAGTTTTCTTTAGATTATGACACCTGCGGAGAGTTTAAAGTGGAGTATTTCCGTGCCTTCTGATGTAGAACTGCTCGAGAGGACATAAAAGATTCATTTTCTTACATGTTGTTAGTGTTCCATCAGAAGTGAAAACAACAAACAGCATGTCTAAGTGAGTTAAAGGGAAGTTATATGGGGGGAGGGGGGACGGGCACGTGTAAGACACTTGGCTTTCAGTCACTTCTCATCCCTAGGTAGACTTGAAATCACATTGCTCTGTATACTTACTTCATTTGACCTGTCATTTCATCTCCACTATTATTATTCTCAATTTTTAGCACATGTCGCTTTTGGTGAGACATGTCAGATAAGACACTGATAATAGCAATACGTAAAAATGTGTAATTATCTGCTTGCTTAATGAAGTGAGGAAGGTTAGGCATATTTATAGCTTTTTTTTTTTTTTTTGGTTTAATTATAAAGTCAACAAAACCAGGGAGCAAATCATTAAGGGAAAGTTATCCTATAAAATCAGTTTTCTTCTAAGTTAATTTAGGGATGACAAGGTGAAGAGGTTGTGGAAGCAGGAAGAAACTGTTTCGTTTGAAAATTACCAGTACAAACATCTCTAAGGTTTCCTCCCATCTGTGTGGCAAAAGAGGCAGACAGTTTTGTTTCTAAGTCTTATGACATATGTACCACCTAGGAAATCCACTGTTTAAAATGTTTCAATTGTTCAACATGGCGTGTTCAGTTTAATTGTTTAATTAATATAATACTTTTTTTTCTTCTGTATTAGTGAAGTAGTCTTTTCAATTTTTAGTGGCATTTCTTTCTTAAATAAAATAGTGTTAAGATTTTAATGTAAATAACCATATAATACTGAAGATTAGCATTGTTGTAACCTGTAAAACATTTCTAGATTAAACTCTGTCATTTTATTGTATAGTTATATTAGACTCAAAATGACAGGATTTCTTTCATGGTCCTGAGTTTGTTTTGCATATTGTGGCCACTAGAGCTGCTGTAGATAGATCTCTAGTTACCCATTACCTGATCTTCCTTAGTATTCAGACATTAGTTAATAGCATGTGTCAGTTTTATAGCTACAGTTTCAAAAAGTAATGCTTCTGTCTCTGATTTATCTTTTGGAATTTTGACAGCTTGCTTTCTGGTTGATTTATTTTAAATATGCATTGAGGGATACATGGTTCAGTGGATTGCTCACCACTAAGTCATTGGTTTGAACTTGGCACTAGTCCATGGTTACCTCATCTGCATCATTTAACAGCTGCATGGTCATCTGTATAAATTGGCAGATAACTAATTTGAGTGATTTCAGTGGTCAGGGATTAAACACACATAGATTTATGTGTAGAAACATTTCAGAGATATTACTCCAAAAGAGCTAATGAGGGTGGAAGCAAGTGGGTATACATGATTTTTCATGTGACTTTTTCTTGCTACTACAATATTTATGGTAGAAAGACAAGTTTTCATCTGATATCCACTGGTACCATTCTCAAGTCTTTTCAATGTTATGTGATTATTAGATCAAGTTTAAATATGGAGTTTCCTTTGGGAATCAATACCTTTTCCTAGCTGCTTTGTTCTGCTTTAAGATTAGCATTATTTCCTGGAAAGTCTTTTTGCAAAGACTTCCAGACATAAATGAATTAAATCCAACTTTTCACATCGAAGCAACAAAGTCAGAGCACCTCCTACTGTTTGCATGACTGTAAAAGTTCAGATATATCTTTTGTGAATAAGGTGCTCTGTCTAGATCACTAGTTATGTGTGTGTGTGTGCGTGTGTGTGTGTGTGCACGCACACACACACACACACGCACACACACGTACGTGTATGCTCCTAAAATGTGAAATGAAATATAACAAACTTGTTACCTCTCTTTTAAAGGTATTTTCTCTTGGATATTAATTTGCAAATCTGAAGAAATGGCAGTCCAGGCAATTTTCGTGTTGGTTGGAGTATTTGTTTGTTCTATCAGTGTAAAAGGATCGTCTCAGCCCCAAGCAAGAGTTTATTTAACATTTGATGGTAAGATAAATACTCTGGAAAAATGTTATTTGAAGTCTTTTTAAAAATTTCACAACCAGATTCAAACATTAATAATAAAACACAGTAAAATATTATTGAATGTTGATTAATTTTAAAAATATTTACTGGGCTGCTTTTTGGAGGACATGGCTATTTTAAATTATGTGTTCATAGGCAAAAGCTCTCTACTACATGTGTTTATGAAAATGCTTGAAGTATATTCTACCCTTTTTGAAGTTTCTTCTTAATAGTCACCTGGTGTTTGAGAAACACCCTCAGTGTGCTAATGCTCATCAGCAGAGAAGTCTATGCAAGTTTAATTAAAATTTTTCTTCATAAGTTTTGGTCTTGGCCTCCAAACTTGTTTCTCCATGTTTGTTGTTCTAATGGTTTTTTTTTTTTCCATTTCCAAAAGGCATTCCTGAGGTTGGCAAAATCTCCTAATTAATTGAAAAGGATCTAAAAGAATAGTTGGAAATATGTTTTTGACTGCTGTTGTGTACAAATGTTTTCTTCAGAAGTTTGGGAAAATTGGCGTGATTTCAAATTTGCACAAATGTAAAAGGTGTAAGATCCTCTGAGGAAATGGTTTGCCAAATGTATCCATGAGCTTTGATGTATATAGTTCAAACAACTTACAGATGGATGATTTTGGTCAGTCACATAACCCATACTAATTGGACGTATGGGATAAGAAATAGATCAGGAAGATCATCTCGCCAATAAGGGTTATTTATATTTTTATTACTTCTTTCAACTTAAGTTCCTCATAAGCATTGGTGTCATTGAGCATATTTTATTTTACTTGAGAAACAGTATACTCTCAGAACTTTCTATAGCAGTGTCTTTGAAACACTCTATTTCTTGAATTTCAAACAGCAGTATGACTGACACTTATCAGTCACATGGATATCTTATTTTTTTTCTTTCCTTCTTAAGTCACTAAGGGCTTTCCTCAAGGTTATGATAAGCACTGAAAGAGCTTTATTTAGAACTTAGAGTGTGTGACCTTCTAATTGCTTCTTTAGCTTCTAAGCCAGTCATTCCACTAAAAACCCATGGCTGTCCAGTTAAGTTATGAAGAAAGGGAAAACAGACCCTTTGAAGTGTCTTTTTTTTTTTTTTGATTACTGTAACATCTTATAGTCTACTTATACCTTTTCTTCCAAATTGAGAACTATGAAATATCTAATCAAATGAAAAATAAAGGCATTAGGGTGTAGTGCAATTTCTCTTTTCTATATTGTCTCCCAATATGTAGAAAGATGGAGTGGTCTCACAGGTTAGTTATCTGAACCTGTTCTCTCTAATACATCAAAACTGACCAAACTTTTTTTTTTAACCCAAACTTAACCCAAAATTTGTAAACTGTAAAAGCATGTGTATCACCAGAGATAATCCATCAAGTTCATATTTGAAAGACTTTACAGTTTATCTTTTACAGAAGAAATTAATTAGTATAATCTTTTAAAACCAAACTAATACTAAGTAGGACAGTAACTACTATATATAAAGTGACTAGAAGTTGTGATGGGATTTTTAAAATACTCCGTGTCTAATATTTTAAATGCTCTCAAAGTCAAAACAGATTCTTGCAGAATGAGACTTACCTTAATTTATAGCATATGTAGAGTACAACATGATGAGATAAGCTTTTGATCTGAGATTTCTACCAATTCCTGATATTTTGTTTTTCTGAAGAGTCATGCTAGGAAATGATCAGAGATACAGAGTATCACTTTATTTGTATTAAAGATATATATCAACGGGGAGAACAAATAATGAAACTCCATAATTTCTAAATTAATACAAAAAACTCCTGAAGTGAACTATATTTTAGACATATTATCATAGGAAAAATACCTTGGACAAAAAAAATGGTTAAAAGGCATAAATTGTAATCAGCTCATCATCCTCTTCTTAATAGATTAGACAGTGTACCTGTTTCAGTGTACCTTTTCCAAATTTCTTATTATTTAAAGTTTCCCATTTTATTACAACTTTTCTGTATATTACAATAAGTTGCTAAATTTCTTCCAAAATGGTTTACTCTTTACATCAAAATATAGAACTTTGTAAGGGTTGACACATATATGAACATATATTAATTAAAATACATATGGTGTATGCTTTTATTTATTTCAAAATTTCTATCACTATTTTTCAGCCAAATATTATGAATTGGAAAATGATTCTGAGGAAATTCAAATAACATCAGATTATATCATCTGTGTCTTTATATTCTCAGAATTTCCTTGCCTCCTGACTCTTTTGTCTTGAATTATTTTCCTTCACCATTACTTGGTCTTCTGCCAGTCTCTTTCTGGATGGAACTTTAGAAGAATCCTCTCAGTCTTGCCTTACAGTCCAATTAACAAAGTCAATTTTAAAATGTGTGAAATGAGATCTCTTCTTACATCCAAGTTTTATCCCTTCTTGTAGTAGAATGATGCAGTGATAACATTTGGGAAACATTGATTTACACATTTGCCTTCCCTATTGATCTAGTGTAAGGTCAACCAGATGGTCATCAGTCCTGTGGGAGAATGTATTTCAGATGTTATTAATTAGTTACATTTGTACAAACTAAATCTTGCATGTTAAAAAAAACTGTGGTTCCTATTAGATATTACATTTTATAATTGTTATCATTCTAATTTTATGCCAAATAGCTTTTCAAATAAATATAAAGTTCATGAAATACCTTTTGATTAAGTTGAATTTTTGTTTAAAAAAATCTGGTGGTTTAACAGATTCACATTTCATAGCATTATTGTCATTGTAATTTTTTTCTCAGAAAATCTTTGGAATCTATAAGGGTCATAAGATAAGTCAAGGCTACATATATTCAATAGACAAATTTGTTTTGCTTGTTAATATAAAAGGGAAAGCATTGTTGAAATGGTTCTGCCTTTATCCAGTAGAGACTTTAGCATGTAGTATTTTACATAGCCAGGAATTGATACTATAGTTTGACAAAAAGCATCAGTTACATGTCATTTTACAAAAAAGTCTAAGGTTGAGAAAAATGGACATATTGTCTATATTTGAATTGATATAAAACATGATTACTGAGTTAAATATGTTAAGCATTGTTTCTGTTTAAAAATGAGGTAGATTCAAAATAAGATTATTTTTCACCTAGTAATTAGGTTGTGAATCTAAAATGTTAAATTTGTTGACATAAAGTCATCTATAATATTACCTTATTATCCTCACTGTGCCTGTAGGATCTGTAGTAATGTCTTTTTCTTCATTTCTGATATTATTAATTTACATCTACTTCCTTTATGTTCGGACTGCTGTAGAAATCATTTTTTTCTTTTTATTGATCTCTTTAGATAATCAGCTTTTGGATTTGTTGTGTTTTTTTTCTTATTGTTTTTCTGTTGAATATTTCCTTGGTTTATGCTCTAAAATGAAACTATCTTATTCTTGTCTTGTGTTTAATTTACTCTTCTTTTTGGAAATTCTTAACATGGAAACTTAGATCACTGATTTGAGAACTTTTTCCTAATGTAAGCAGTTGTGCTGTAAATTTCCCTTGAAACACTGTTTAGCAGGGCTCCACATATTTTGATAAAATTTGTTTTGATTTGTAGTCAGTTCAAAATGTCTTCTAATTGTTCCTCTTACTTTTTCTTTACTCACAAATTACTCAGAAATATGTTGTATAATTTGAAGATATTTGTGTATTTCTTATATATCTTTCTGTTGTAGATCTTTGATTCAGTTTCTTGTTGTCAAAGAACATACATAATATGCTTCTGATTTTCTAAAAAACTATTAAAAATGATTTTATGACACTGAATGTAGCCTACATAGAAAAGAATCTGTATTCTGCTTTTATTGCATGAATGTTTTATTAATGCCAGTTAGATTCAGTCAGTTGATGGTTTGTTATGTTTTCTATATCCCTACTGATTTTCTGTCTACTTATTCTTTGAATTACTTACAGAAGAAGTTGAACTTTCCAACTATAATTATGGATTTGTCTATTTCTCTTTTCAGGTCTATCAGTTTTTATTTCATGTTTTTGAATTTCTGTTTTTAATACTGACCTATTTAAGAGTGTTATGCCTCCTGATGAACTGACCTCTTTTCCATTACAAAATATCACCAATTATTTTTGGTAATAATTATTGTTCTGAAATGAATTTTGTACATAAAACTTCTGTCTTTTTTGTATAAGGAAAAATACCGACAAAATTTTAGTTACAATTAAGTAGGGAAAATGTTTGTCATGATTCCAGTGACCTCTGGGAAGTTTTTGTTAAAATATTAGGAAACATGTCTAAACATATATTTTTTGATGTATGTAAAAGTATGGACATTTGATTGGCAGTGCAGTATAGTGAGAACAGCATTTATGTGGAAAAAATAACAGAGTTTTCAAACTTTGGTTCCTCAGCAATTAATTCTGAAACTTTGTCAGGACCTCAGTTCTCCCAACCAGTTAAAAATTTGGGGGCTAACTAAACTCTAAGACTCTTTATTGCCCTAAATTTTTATGATGTTTAAGCTTAGTTTTTTTTTTTGTTTTTTTTTTTTGTTTTGTTTTGTTTTGTTTTTTTTTTTTTTTTTTTTTTTTTTTTTTTTTTAATAATATCATCTTCTTTAAGGAAGGCTTCTATAGTAATTCCTCTCATTGCTTTCAAGAACATTTTGTATGAAGGACTTGGGCAAGGGACAGAACAAAACTAAACAATTTATAAAAGTTCACAGATTTTGAAGTCCTACAGAGCTGATTTTAAATCATAGTTGCTTGCTACTTTCTGGGGAATGCTACATTGGGGTAGTTACTTAATCTCCCTAATCCAGAATTTTATCATCTGTAAAATGGGAATGACACACACTTCATAGAACTGTTTTGAAAATGAAATGAATTAAATTTGTAAAATGTATTGTGTGGTTATAGTGTGCATCTTGTTAAAATACACAAAGAATGACTTTAATTGAGTTAACATTTATAAATTCCTTTAGCGTACAAATATGGTCTT